TTCAAACAGAAAGATTTCTGCATGTACGTGGATGAGTATAAACACTGTAATATTTTTAAAAGAAATAACACTGTCAGTTGTGGGGAAAATCACGGTTATTACGTGACAAGAAAAGTATGTAAAATTTTCATAAACTTCTTTAAGCCAGTATTCGTGGAGAATAACAGGATCCAGTATTAATTTACTTGTCACTAGACATGAGTATTAAGGCCTATTATATTTTTAACACTGCATTCTACATTCTACATTAGGAGTTCTCAAGAATTAGAAGAGTGGATAATAATAGTATTCGAATCACTATGTTCACCGTCTACATTGCTTATATAAATAGTGTTTTGACATGTACATCCCAAGTATTCTGCTAAAAGGAAACCATTAAATTCAACAGATATCATAAATCTGAATTATATTGTGCTTTTTTTTCATACTAATATTTGGTTATTAAGCACAAAATAACATATACTATTCCTTCTCTGAGGATATATTTAGTTATGTTAAATGATTCAGTAATTTCCTAAATATCGTCAGAAAATTAATTTTACAACCCTCGAGTATCGGTTGTTATACTGTGATTCAGTATGCATCTGTCTGTTTCATTACAGCCCCTGGCACCACTTCAAATATAAAGTGATACATTTAGTATGTGTTTAAGAAAAAAACGATTCGCAAGTAAATTAAATTACACACATTTTTCGACGTGCCAGTACTGCGCAGCCGTAGCAACTATGAGTCGATATAAAACTTACAAAAATTACTTTCCTGTTTGTGAGGAATCATATGCGTTTTTGTTTTTTTCCTTCTTTAGTTTTCTGTAATCAGGCAAAATTTTAAGAATACTTTTCCCTCGTCTAATGGGTAACTATAGTTTTAAAATTTAGCTAACAATCACAGAATCACCCTCATGATCAAATTTGACTAACAATCTACTATTCTCTGTTCACATCAGTAGTGTCTGTGGTGACATAGCACAACAGTAATTGTTGTTACATGTGTAAACCATCGTGATTGTATCAATAGTGTCAGTGATGACATTATACAACTGTAATTGTTGTTTCATGTTTATCACTGCGCAACTATAAATGTTGTTACATGTTTATCACTGGGTATTTTAAACCATCGTGATTACTTCAGCAGTCTCTGTGATGAAATTGTACAACTATAATTGTTGTTACATGTTTGTCACCGAGTGCTCTTTTAAACTATCGTTGTTACATCAGTGGTGTTTATGATTTCATTAATCAAATCGTATTCGAAAAACAATAACAACAACAGAAAACGAAACAAATAAAAATGTCATTGTATAGACATACGGGTATTAGTATGAACCTGAAAAACATCTTGCTTTTAAAAGTACTTCCACATTGTTTTTGTCAGCAAAAACCGTATACATTTAATAAACAGAAGTACAGTATTTCTATATTAACATTAAAAGTATTTTATTAATGGAGTATGTCAATAATTATGAGACATGTTTGCATTATAAAATAGAGTAATTCCAGAGAATAACAATAAATTTGATTATGATGTTCATTTTCTAGTGTTGTTACATGTTTAAACCATCGTGATTTGTGATGACATTGTACAACAGTGATTATTGTTACCAATGTAAAAATGTTCCAACTCAAATAGTCACTAATGTATGATAACTACTACCTAAATAATTACCGAGTATGTTGACTAACGTTTATAATGGCAGTTTTATCCTTTTATATAATTCACGGAAAAAATTTCTCGGCAAGTGTCTCCCTCTATTGGTCACTTGGTTTTCTACAATCGGCTATGTAACAACTTTGTTCATAAATGTTCCAAAAAGTTCTGACCTAGTAATAACCATCTGGATGATATTGGTGAAGTTTTTTGATAACTCCTTCAACGTATAATTGCAAAGGAAGAAGAACGTGGTGATACATCAAAGAAAAACACACATTAACTGTTTGTATGTTTCAGTGCTAAGCCACACTGGGATATCTACTGTCTCCACCGTAGGTAATCGAACCCTGAAATATAGCATTGTAAGTCCATAGACCTACCACTGTCTCATTGGAGGATGTTAATAGTGGTACAGCTAAACAGTCACAAAATATTATTTGAAAATAATATGTTATATAATCTTTTGATGACTTGTAGGTAACTAGTCGAAGGGGTTTAAACATGCTTCTTCTAATTCAATATCTTGTTCATTTAAAGGGATTGAACATTAAATAAATAACACATTTTGACAGTAAGTTCGATAATTACTATTAATCTTCTTAAGTCCACGCAAAACATACTTTAAATCTAAGAATAAACGCTTCAGAGAATTTATCACTAAAATAATAATAAAAAAGGTGCCTAACAGAGAACCAGTTTGCTGAAACAGTGTCGACATTGTGCCTTTTCAGTTTTGAAGGTGGGAATTGAGTGATATATTCACAACTTCAAATAATTTTCACTTTTTCTTCTCCCAAAAATTATGAACAGCTACAAATAGCCCAATTTTCTCTATATAACTGTATAAGAACGAAAATTTTGGCTTTGCAGCATTCATCATCGTATAGTAAAGACTATCCATCGTTATTACATCATTAATGCCTGTGGTGACATTGTACAACAGTGATTATTGTTACATGTATAAAACATCGTGATTGTATCGGTAGTGCCTCCTTGTCTTTGCCATCTTGGTCACTGTTATATTAAATAGTTTGAACATTCACTTCAATACGATCAACCGGTTGTCAAACTTTTTCTATCAGTCCTCCTGACAAACTGAAAGTCAATAAGTCAAAACTTTGCTTAATTGTTGTTCTTTAAAGTAGATGTATTAATAACCTTTTTCTTTGTTACAGCTGAAAAAAGTATAAACTCGGAGATTGTAGTGATTAATTTGAATGGTACATTATACGCAAGTGAGAGATCCCCCCCCCCCACCCTCGTCTATAATTTTGATTGAAGAGGACATGTGAAAGTGACGAAATTTTTTCCTAAAAGTGTATTTAGATTGTATTCTACGTTCTTTTACACGGTATTGTGGATTTACCTACTAAAAAAAAGATCTGTTTAAGGCACTTGGTAGATTAAACAAATGTTGACAAGAAAACTTTGGTCATAGACAAAACAAAATAGGATTAAATGTTTTAGGAAAAATAAGTGACTGCCAGATGGAGCTACTGGCTGACCGTGATGAGTTTCATTTGGGCCTCTATGTAAGCCTCTTTTTTACATTTACGCCCTCAAAGCATCCTCGTCTTTGTTTAACTTTCGTCTACAAGAGAAGTACTTTCAAGCTATATTACAATTCACAAGCTATATTTGGTTGGATATGTGAGTCACTTGCTACTATTTTTGTAAGTCCTTGAATAGGGAGCAGGTAACAGAGGATTGTAAGTTAGTTAATGTCACTCCTCTTTATAAGGGAGGTGATAAAAATTGTCCTGGTAATTATATGCCATTTAGGCTTGCATCAATTGTGGGAAAAGTTTTGGAAAGTCTGTTAAAAGATGCTTTGCAAAGTCAATTTAACAAAGTTTAGAATTTTATTGGATAGTCAACATGGTTTCACTAAGGGAAAATCTTGCCTTACAAATCTTTTGACATTCTTTGAAAAGGTTACTGCTTATGTAGATGAGGGTAAGGGTGTAGATTTGGTGTACCTGGATTTTCAGAAAGCACTTAACAAGGTGCCACATAAAAGGCTTGATAAAAAATTATCTCTATAGATGTGGGCAATAAGTGGATGGAATAAAGCAGAGGGTTCTAATAATTGGAGTTCAGTCAAACTGGATTAATGTCATAAGTGCAGTACCTCAGGGCTCAGTCTTAGGGTCTTTGCTTTTTTTGATTTACATCAATGACAGATGAAGAAATAGTCAATAAATTACTTAAATTTACAGATGATATTAAGGTCTTAGGTGTTGCTAGCTGTGAAGAGGATGCTGCTGATTTTAAATAGGATTTAAATCATTTAGTAAGTTGGGCAAATAAATGGCAGAGGCTTTTAATTATAATAAATGCAAGATAATGGATGTGGGTTATCATAATTTAAATCGTAAGTATAATTTGGATGGGAATAACCTTAACAGTGTTATGAAAGAAAGGAATCTTGGTTTAATAGTCGATCAGTCTCTAAAGCCATCCAAGCAGTGTGATGTTGCTAGTGGTAGGTCAAATAGGATTTTACGTTGTACCTACAGAAATATTGGATACAAGTCTCAAGAGGTTATAATTTAATTGTACAGGTCACTGGTTAGGCCACATTTAAAATATGGTGTTCAGGCTTGGGCTTCTTACCTTAGGAAAGACACTGAATTGTTGGAAAAGGTTCAGAGAATGGGTGCCTGGGATGAAGGGGTTATCAAAGGAGGAGAGGCTGAAATCTCTCAAATTGTTTTCTCTTGAAAAAAGAAGAGTTAGGGGGGATCTGATTGAGGTGTTTAAGATTGTAAAGGGAATTGATAGTGTTTATGCATCATCTTTTTCATATTTAACAGTGACAATAGGACTAGGGGATGCAAGTATAAATTTTGGCAAAGTAGGAGTCATCTTCAGCTAAGACAGTTTCATTTTTCTAACAGGGTGGTTGGCCTTTGGCCAAATTCATTTTAATCTACAATCATTATTACTATTCTTGGCCCAAAAGTCATTAGATTCAAGTTAGTGAAATTGAATCTACTGAAAATGAAATACATGGGGCAGGCAAGAACTTGTAAAAGTGCACATTTCCATTCCCAGCACTGAAGCCCACAGTTCTTAAAGATTATGTTTTAATACCTGTTTTGTGTATCATAACTTAATAATAACAGCAGAGAATAACAGGAATACATAACCAAATATTAAATCTTGACTAATCTTAAGCTGCAAAGTCCAGTGATAAGAATCATAAAAATATATTTATTGACCTTACTTGTATTTTGTAAATCTGTAGTTCTATTTTTACTAGTAGTAGTACTACTACTAATGGTAGACTACTAATACATTTTCAAAGCTATATCATAACTTTAATAAAGTATATAGTTCAAGTATACCTTGTTTATATATTTTTTTACGGCCTTTCTGTATTTATTTAAGTTGATTGGTACTGTAGAATCTCTGTCGTATAAACTTGACACCGGTATTTCCTCCACATTTAATTCTTTACGTTCACCCTCCATAACGTACTACACCACTAGTGACCACTTACGGCACCAAATGAATTTCTAAAGTTTTAATTTAAATTTAAGGGTGAAACATAATTATTGAAAATTATCCTTTCATACTTCTTGGCGAGAAAACCCCAGGCCACAATACAACACTCCACCAATCAACGCCTTCCAATGTAGATGACAGCGCCACCTAATGAGCTAAATACCACCACCTGCTTGCCTATAAATATCCACAAACAATAATCGCAATTCACACAACACTCAGCCTTGATAATGGATGCAGATCATATTCGAAATGCGTCGGCCAATTCACCACTATCTACAACTTTTGCCCGTTGTTCTAATAACGTTAAAACGGCTTATATGAGAAGATTTCTAAGAAGAAAGTAAACCTACAGACATCGGTCTTATTCAACAAAATATCAGAATTTACATAACTACTAAATCTAAATTACAATTTAACTCAGTTTTAGGCTATTTGAAATTGCAATAAGTAACATAATAAATTCGGGTCTCGTCTGGGATCTGAATCAGAGACAAAATTCAATTTAAATTAAAATTTATATCATAATTCAATTTATATTTATCAGTGCCAACAACATTTGATCATGTCTGATTATCAAGATTTTCTTGAATCACCCTCCCTCGAACAAAAAAAATTAATTGCTGGAATTTGCCAAAGTTTTAGAACTAGAAGTTAAATGATCAATGAGAATAAAATGAACCAAAAAAGTGTATTATCGAAATACTAGTCGACCATGATTTCTTGCCTGCAGAACCATTACAGGAATACTCTAGTGTACCCACTAGCCAATCGGGATTGAGTGATAAAGACAAGTTTGAGATCCAGCTAAAACTCAAACAACTGGAGCTTGAACAAGCTCGTATCGAAATTGAAAGATAAAATAAACGTCTCGAGGCCAAAAAAGCTTGCATTGAAGCCGAAAAAAAATTAAACTGAAAGAAATGGAAATTAGACTCGACTCTGATCGACCAAGACAAAACGACAACTTTGAACTTAATCAATATGTTAAAGTACCACTGACCGATGAAAATGAAGTGGATAAATATTTCCAACATTTTGAGAAGGTTGCCCAAACCATGCTTTGGCCCACCGAAAAATGGTCATTATTATTACAAAGTGTTTTAACTAGTAAAGTACAAGAAGCTTATGCCACTCTCTCTTTAGAAGATTGTACGAATTATGATAAGGCTAAAGCAGCTATTCTCAAAGCATACGAGTTAGTACCAGAGGCTTATCCCAAAGGTTTTAAGGTTATCACAAACAAGATAATCAAACTTATATGGAATTTGTCCACGAAAAAGAGGTTTATTTTGATCGATGGCATACTTCTACACATATTGGCAACAATTTCGACAAGTTAAGGCAGTTATGTTCAATGGGGGAATTTAAATGTTGTGCACGTGATGACCTCAAACTTGGATGGAAAGAATGTTGAAACCCTATAGGAAGCAGCCGCTCCTACCTAGGATCACACTTTAACACATAACACCACTTTTCTTTAAAAAAAAATCCTATCATCTCAGCAAAAGCCTGTATCAGTTCAATTCCCTAAAGTTGAGGATCCTTTTAAAAAAATCCAGCTCCTCTAGTTCGAAATCTTTTGATAGTCAGGATAAAACTTCATTAAAAACATCAAGGCCTGTATGCCATTTTTGTAAAAAATCTGGCCATGTTATATCTCATTGATGGTGTTTCAAAAAAGAAAAAAGAAAAGGAGGCAACACCCAGTGCATTTGTGTCCCCCATACGGACGTACTTTCACCAGATCACCCAATATTGTTGATTTGGCCAATGATATAAAGGCTGATGTAATCAGGGAGAAATTTAGATCTTTTGTGTCTGTTGGTTCTGTGCCTGTGACAAATGACACTGGCAATCACATACCCATACGTGATACTGGGGCGACTCAATCATTGTTGTTAGAAGGTATATTACCTTTAGATTCGAGTTCTGCCAGTGGTGAGTCTGTTATTGCTCAGGGTATTGAGGATGGCTTTGTTAATGTCCATCTTCATAACATTTATTTAGCACCAGACCTAGTTCCGGGACTAGTTGTGGTTGGAGTAAGACCTACTTTAAGGATGATGTTGTCATTGAGGAGAATCCCGATGTGTTTCCCTCGTGTGCTGTGTCTCAAGCTTAGGCTAAGAAATTAAGCCAAAAACAAATGATAGACATGGATTCAGAGGATGATATTATAGATTTATCTCAGACATTTTTTGAATCCAATGGGGATCTTGTGGATGATTGTTTTACTGAAATTCTGTGGTGAGTGTCAACTATGGACGTGAGGGATCTGATTCACCTAGTGAAGTTCCATTTACTAAAAGTAAATTGATCATTGAGCCAGAAAAGGATCCGCAGATCTTTTCTCTATTTAAATATACATTCCTGAAAGATGAACTGGAGAGAGTTCCAAATGGTTTTTTTCAAAAATGGTGTGTTTATGAGGAAATGGAGACCTCCAGATGCGCCAGCTTCAAAGGACTGGGCTGTAGTTTATCAAATCGTTGTTCCCAAAGCATATAATTGTGAAATTTTGAAAGTTGTACATAAATTTACGATGAGAGGTCATTTAGGTGTCAACAAAACACGTGACAAAATTATGATACATTTCTTTTGACCAAAAATTAGGCAAGATGTTTCTCAGTTTTGCAAAACTTCTTATTCCTGTAAGTTGGTCGGAAAACCTAACCAGAAAATTCCTGTTGCTCTTCTGAAACTTATACCACCTTTCGAAGAACCATTCAGTTGTGTGATTGTTGAATGTGTTGGACGTTTACCAAAAACTCAATCAGGGAATCAGTATTTATTAACTATCACATGTGCATCCACTAGATTCCCTGAAGCTTTCCCCTTTGAGAAACATTTTAGTACAAAACATTTCTAAGGTTTTGATTAATTTCTTTACTTTTGTTTGCTTCCCAAAAGAAATTCAGTCTGATCAGGGATCAAATTTTATGTCAGGGAGGTTTTCTACCTTGAAAAATGTGATGTGGACTTGCTGTCTCGATAACGAGAAGGATTGGGATAAAGAAGTTAATTTATTATTTGCTGTTCGTGAGTCAGCTTAGGAGTCATTAGGGTTTAGCCCGTTTGAGTTGGTGTTTGGCCATTAAGTGTGTGGTACTTTGAAGTTGCTTAAATAACAATGGTTGGAAGATGATCCAAAAGAAATGCACTTGTTGGATTATGTTTCCAAGTTTCGATCCAGACTGTTATATGCTTGTGAACTGGCACTAGAAAATTTGAAGTCACCCCCAAGTTAAAATGAAAAATGGTTATGACCACAAGGCTGAAGAGCGCAAGTTCCATTCTGGTGACATGGTCTTAGTATTGTTACCCACTATGGGACATCTACTCAAAGCTATGTATCATGGTCCCTATGAGGTTGTTTGGAAAGTTAATGATACGGACTATGTTGTACAAACACCTCATAGTCGAAATACTATCGAGCTGTGTCATATGTTGAAGCCCTATCACATACAAGATGCATCCGAAAATACTTCAGCTGTTGAGTGTTCTCCTGATACTGATGATAGTTGCTTTGACGCAGACGCCCGTAAATTTGAAAATATTGGAGACGAATGCAACATCAAGCTGAGTAATTCTGACATTCTGGTCAATCTTGATTCAAACTCAATCACTTGCCTCCTGAGGAGAAAAATCAACTTGCAGGCTATTGACTGAATACGAATGTATATTTCTGGACGTTCCTAATCAAACCAACATCACTGTTCATGATGTTGATTTAGGTGACGTTTCTCCTGTGAAACAACTTTTCTATCGTGTGAATCCAATCAAGGCCAATAAAATGCATAAAGAAAGATCAAATATGCTGAAAAATGGCATTGTAGAGCCCAGTAAAAGTGATTGGTTTTCACCTTGTGTACTGGTTCCTAAATCTAATGGTTCAGTTAGGCTCTGAACGGACTTTCGCAAAGTAAATGCTTGGACAAAGACCGATTCCTATCTCATTCCAAGAATGGAAGATTGTATTGATAAAATTGGAAAAGTTAGATATATCACAAAGTGAGACCTACTAAAGGGATACTGGGCTGTTACTTTAACTGACAGGGTAAAATAAATCTCTGTACTCCTGATTGGTTATACCAGTACAATGTAATGTCTTGTGGGATAAAAAATTCTCAAGCAACCTTTCAGCGAATGATAAATCAAAGTCTCAACAACCTGTCAGATGTTGGAATTTATGTTGATGATATTGTGATTTCCAGTGATACGTGTGAAGAACATTTATGTGTATTACGTGATGTTTTTGAGAGGCTTAAGAAAGCCAATCTCACTGTAAATTTGTCAAAAAGTTACTTTTGTAAAGCCAAAGTTGTTTACTTATGTCATGAAGTAGACCATGGCCAAGTTTCTCGAATTCAAGCTAAAGTTGATTGTATTGTAAGTTATCCAACTCCTATGGGCAAGAAAAGTTTGATGAGATTTTTGGGAATGGTTGGTTATTACAGGAAGTTTGTAAACAATTTTCTGACATCACTGTACCATTAACAAACCTTTTAAGGAAAATCAAAAGTTCAAATGGTCTGAAACATGTCAATTTGCTTTTGAAAAGGTCAAATCTTTGTTGTGCACTTACCCTGTAGTGATGGCACCTGTCTTTGATAAGCCTTTCGCATTAGCTGTTGATGCCAGCGATTGTGGTGCTGGTGCTGTTCTATTACAATCAGACGACAGAGGTATTGAACACCCTGTTTGTTATCTTAATAAAAAGTTTAATTATCAGTAAAATAAATATTTTACTGTAGAAAAAGAAACATTGGCTCTAGTGATTAGCGTTAGAACATTTCAATGTGTATGTATCTGCATCACAACAACCTCTTGTCTTTTATACTGATCATAACCTGTTGAATGTTTTGAACCAAACGAGGGGCAAAAACAGAAGACTGTTGAATTGGAGTTTATCATTACAATAGTACGATTTGAAGATAATCCATGTCAAAGGATTTGATAACATCTGTGCTGATGCACTTTCACGTGCTAAGTTATTTTATGGTCATAAAGTCATTTGTATTTGTGCCATCATGGTTATTGAAGTTTTGTAATCTATTGAATAATGTATTGTTGTAAATGTATATACAGTTTTTAATTCTCTAAGGAGGGAGTTG